ACTAAATTAAACTCACTAGGCCAGGCATGGTAGCTCACACCTGTAATCCCAGCACCTTGGGAGACCAAGGCAGGTGAATCGCTTTAGCTCACATATTTGAGACCAGCCTGGGCAACATGGCGTAACACTGTCCACAAAAAGTACAAAAACTAGCCAGGTGTGTTGGCTCGCACCTGTAGTCCCAGCTTCCTGGGAGGCTGAGGTGGGAGGATCACCTGAGCCTGTGAGGTAGAGGCTGCTGTGAGCCATGATTGTGCCACTGCACTCCAGCCTGAGAGACAGCATGAGGCCCTGTCTCAAAAAAAAACAAAAAACAAAACAAAAACAGAACATTTGTTAAACTCTTGCCAAAACCTATCTCTTTTTTTTTGAGGCTCCAGGCCCCCCAGTGCTATATAACTTAGATTTGTTTTCTTTTTTTTTTGAGACAGAGTTTCGCTCTTGTTACCCAGGCTGGAGTGCAATGGCGCGATCTCGGCTCACTGCAACCTCCACCTCCCAGGTTCAGGCAATTCTCCTGCCTCAGCCTCCTGAGTAGCTGGGATTACAGGCACGTGCCACCATGCCCAGCTAACTTTTTGTATTTTTAGTAGAGACGGGGTTTCACCATGTTGACCAGGATGGTCTCGATCTCTTGACCTCGTGATCCACCCGCCTCGGCCTCCCAAAGTGCTGGGATTACAGGCGTGAGCCACCACACCCAGCCAGATTTGTTTTCTTTCCCCCCCATTTCAGTACAGATTAACACATTACTACACAAAATGCTAAGTTTTTATTTCCATTTAATACGTGCTAAATGAAAAGTTATTTTGCTGACAAAAGCATAAGTCCACATACAATGTGCTAGGATACCACCTATAATCAATAACTTAAAGATAATCATTGAGGGAGGGACACGGTGGTTCACGCCTGTAATCTCAGCACTTTGGGAGACCGAGAGGTGGGCAGATCACTTTGAGCTCAGGAGTTCAAGACCAGCCTAATCAACATGGTGAAAATTTGTCTCTACTAAAAATACAAAAATTAGCCGGGTGTGGTGGTGCATGCCTGTAATCCCAATTACTTGGGAGGCTGAGGCAAGAGAATCGCTTGAACTGGGAGGCTGAGGTTGTAGCGAGCAGAGATCGCACCACTGCACTCCAGCCTGGGCAACAACAAGGAAACTCATCTCAAAAAAAAAAAAATCAGGCCGGGCGCAGTGGCTCAAGCCTGTAATCCCAGCACTTTGGGAGGCCGAGGCAGGTGGATCTCGAGGTCAAGAGATTGAGACCATCCTGGTCAACATGGTGAAACCCCGTCTCTATTAAAATACAAAAAAAAATTAGCTGGGCACAGTGGCGTGTGCCTGTAATCCCAGCTACTCAGAAGGCTGAGGCAGGAGAACTGCCTGGACCCAGGAGGAGGAGGTTGCAGTGAGCCGAGGTCACGCCATTGCACTCCAGTCTGGGTAACAAGAGTGAAACTCCGTCTCAAAAAAAAAAAAAAAAAAAAAATCAGTGAGCTCAGAAAAAAGCCTAACAGAAAGACATTATGTAATAGGTTAGGGCAACATGCATCCTGGGAGATCAAAGAATTCACAACAATCACTGGTTACACTTTTTTAAAAGACCCACATATCGACAGAGCGTGGTGGCTCACACCTGTAATCCCAGTGCTTTGGGAGGCCAAGGTGGGCAGATTACGAGGTCAGGAGACTGAGACCATCCTGGCTAATATGGTGAAACCCTGTAAGTACAAAAAAATTATCAGGGTGTGGTGGCACATGCCTGTAGCCCTAGGGCTGAGGCAGGAGAATCACTTGAACCCAGGAGGTAGAGGTTGCAGTGAGCCAAGATTGTACCACTGCACTCCAGCCTGGGTGACAGAGGGAAACTCCGTTTCAAAAACAAACAAAAAAAGACACACAGATCACAAAAACAGAAAATTCAGAGCAGCACAAAATTGACTTCGAAAGGCAGGGTGTAATGGCTCATGCCTGTAATCCCAGCACTTTGGAGGCTGAGGCGGGCAGATCACCTGAGGTCCGGAGTTGAAGACCAGCCTAACCAACATGGAGAAACCCTGTCTCTACTAAAAATACAAAACTTACCAGCTGTGGTGGTGCATGCCTTTAATCCCAGCACTTTGGGAGGCCAAGGCGGGTGGATCACGAGGTCAAGAGATCGAGACCATCCTGGTCAACATGGTGAAACCCTGTCTCTACTAAAAATACAAAAAACAATTAGCTGGGCATGGTGGCATATGCCTATAGTCCCAGCTACTTGGGAGGCTGAGGCAGGAGAATTGCTTGAACCCAGGAGGCGGAGGTTTCGGTGAGCCAAGATGGCGCCATTGCACTCCAGCCTGGGTAACAAGAGCGAAACTCCATCTCAAAAAAAAAAATTACTTCAAAAAAAATCCCATATATATCGCCCAATATTTGGAAAACCTTCTCTAACAAGTACCATGAACCAAACACTAGTAAGATATCACACGAAGACAAAGTCTCTTATCATCTCAAAGAGGGATCTACAAAGCAAGATACCATTCCAGGAAATACAAACTCTACATAAGAGGAAAAATAAAGAGAACCACTGTGCAAGAGAAATTTAAAAGTAACTTCCTAAAGCAAGCTTATAATGATGCAATAAGAAAAAAAAAAAGTCACTTCCAACGTGCCTCACAATCTATAGGCTGGGGCTACAACAAGGCGTAGTATTCGTGGAGGAAAAAAGGCAGTCTTTACAAATCACAACTGAGGGAAGAAGCATGATATTCACTACCTGTAGACATCTAAAAGCCATGCATATATATGTGCAAAAAAGGGAGGAGGTTTACAATGTTGAGATCAAACTACTTAGGGAAAAATTTCAGCTATCGGGGGGAAAAAAATTCCTGAAGGAAAAGATAAAGATATTACAGTGCTAACTCCTGCCAGCACCATAAGAAGTCCAAAGTAAATGAAAACTCTGAGAGCAAAAGCTGGAAATCACCCCCGCCCTCGCCCCGCGCCTATCTAAGTAGGGTTTGAAACCATGGGTTTAGATCATAATATGACCTAAGAAGCTGTGAACCTTGAAGCTTTCAGTACAATATGGCTCCCAGCACTCCGCAGGTGACAGACAACGACGGTGTTAATCTCGCCCCTTACCTCTACATACTGCTTTACAGTTTAGAAAGTGCCTTCACTTTTATTCCTCAACAGCAACCCATTTAGTGGTAGAATCACAGTAACACGTTCACGCAGCTTGTAGTTTGCACTTTCACACACCGCGCTGGTTATTTCACGGAAGAGACTTAAGTTAAGGAGGTTAAGTCACTCCACTAAGCACCAACAGATGGTAAGTGAGGAGTCTGGAAAACTGCGGGATTCTACTCAGTCAATAATAGACACTTCCAACCCTTAAAAGTTCAAAGTACAACCCTCCAGGGGGAGCAAACTCACTCAGAGAACTATACAAGACAGGAGGACCTCAGAGTCTCAGCCGACCGTCTCTGTCACGGTCGGTTTCCCTTCCCAAAGACGGGGAAAGTGAGGCAGCAGGCAGAGACAAATGCCTAATTTGGAGTCACGCAGGGGGTATTGGTGGGACGGACTCCCCCCACCCCACTTGGGCATTAAGCCCGGAAGCAGCTGGATCCTGTGTCTGAGACACCTGGTCGATCTCCAGAGAGAATGAAGAATTCCCGTTTCCCTCTCACTATTCCCCACTCGGGCTTTCTTATGGATGGAAGTGTCTTCTTCCCATCACCGCCCAGAAACCCCCTCTCCCCAAGGTCCTTACCAAATTTTCGGCTCCGGCCTCCCTAGTAGGAGAATTTCGCTAGTTCTGGCTCCTACCTCCTAGCCCCATTCTCTGTCTCTCGATCCCAAGGCGTTTCTAAGTCTCCCCCGGGAGGTCTGCCACCCACCCGTGCCACCTAGACCGCAAACTCCACAAAAGGAATCCTCCCCAAAGCGTCCCTTCGTCTATCCTTTCTGTCCCGGGCACCCCTGAGTAGGTCAGGACCCCCTCAACACCAGGAGCCACCGCAGGAGCTAGATACCTGCCTCTCACGTGAGCCCCGTTAGCTGCAGCCTCCTCAGAAGGGCGACCCCCAAGAACCTCTTCTGGTGAGGACCCCCGAAAGAGGGAACACCCTCTTCGAGGAACCTTTTCGGATCCCTCAAGCGCGGGCCTCTGTGGAAACCCTCTGGGATATTTCTCGGGTTCTGACCAACGCCGCCCCTCTCCCGGGCCCTTTCCCAGAGCTTGCCCCCGCCCCAGTCCAGTCCGCCCGCCTCAGGCTCGAGCGACGGTTCCCCTCCCTCACAGACATCCCCAACCCTCAGACTCCCTCCCGCTCCGCGTGCCCAGCGGGCTTCTCAGAGCAGCGCGATTGGGCTGCGGCACTGACTTTCTCTAGCTCCTGGGTCCACCGGAGGGAGGGGGCGTCGGCGGCGGCGGCGGCGCGACTCCTTTGTGACAGGTCCGAGAGAACAGTAAAGATGGACGCGAGGCCACGGCGCTGCCATTACGCGCAGGGCCCACCCCCGCTTCGTACCGCCCTGGCCCTGCCTCAGTCCCCTAGGAAACGCCCCTTCCTCGGTGGCAATCCCCCTCCTTGACAGCCAATCACCTTTCAAAACTTGTATCACGTGATCAGGGGGACCGGCCCGCCCCCCAGGCGTAAACTGGCCAATCCTCATCCTGAGGCGTGAATGGCCCAATCAAGTCTCTCCGGCTTGCTTTCGGGGTACCGGATTTTCATCGGGCTCCCGGGGAGGAAGGGCTCCTCGGATTGGGTTACGTCGCCGGAAGTGGGGCGGGGCTTTATTGTGGCGGTGAGGAACAGGAAGCCCTGAAGGGTCAAAAGAAATACAAAAGCAAAGGCTATTTTCATTTTTTTGTCCTTTCATTCCTTCCTCTGTTTCTTTCTTTCTTCCTTTATTTTTTTTTCTTTTTAAGAGCGAGCGGCTCTGCGGTGGCGGTTTGGGGTGAGCGCCGCCGAGGTGAGGGCGTCTCGCCTCCCGTGCTGTTAGGTGAGTGCGGCCTCGGTCTTGGCCTGGCGGCGACACCTGGGTTCCAGCTCCTTCGCTGAAGAGATGGGGAGCTGCGGCTGCTGTTAGGGTTAGGGCCAGGCCTTCTCTCAGTCCGCGCACCCGCCCAGTGTCCGGAGTCGCCGGAACCAGGAGCTTGCGGGCCCAACATGAGGAAAGACGAGGGTGTACGCGGGAAGGCACTTGGGTCGCGGGGAGGACCCCTTTCAGGCAGGCCCAGAACTGCCTGTATTTTGTGGGTTTTCTCCACTTTTCTGCTAGGTAGGGCCACCCAGGCTTCGAGTGAGTAGCAGGCTCTGTTCCAGAGGTCTTGGAACAGGTCCAGGTTACTCACTCCGATGTGCGGCTCCTGATTGGAAATGGTTGAATCCCAGAATGGAAGTGCAGGATGGGAAGCTCATTTGCTGTGTGCCATGTACCAGTTGCTGTGCCAAGCGCATTTGCTTCTGCGGAAAACAAGCCAGCTGGCCCGTTTTGCAGAAAACTTAAGGAACAAAGACGGAGAGTTGAAGCGTCATTGCTTGAGAGTTGGTGGTGCTTGTGACTGTCAGTCCACAAGAGGAAAAGGGGAGACCTGTTTGTTCGTAGTAGTGGTTCTTAAACGTTAGTGGAAAACAAGATCTTCTGAGGCTCTTTTTAAAATGCAGATTCTCAGACCCCTGCACCCCAGGTAGTGCGACTGGGTAGTTCAGGAATGGGACCCAAGAAGCCAAATGCGAGCCTGGTGGTCGGAATTCCCGATGACCTCTTGGGGACCACCTATGAGATAAGATTAGTCGATTCTTCAGTTATTTGGTTTATTCATGTGTCCACAGGGACATCATAAAATGGAAGGCACTCTTCTGAAATCTTTGAAGGGAGTCAGTGTGTAGACTTTTTTGATACAAAGTATTGAGCCGACAGCAGGTTTTACCGTCTTTTAGTTAGATGAGTTGCGAACAATTTGTAAGGGTCTGAAAGTAGAGGCTGCCGGATTATCTTTCTCAACTGCAGTCTTCATGCTCTTACCCTGTGGGGAAGTGCTTCATAGTATAAGAAAGGAATAACTGTCAAAACCATTTAGTTGATTATCAGTCTTCTCTTTCATCTTCCAAGAATCGTGATGCTTGGTTAGAGTCAAGCTGCTTTAGGTATTGAAAACCACGTATGTGGTTAATCAAGTAACGTAAGTGCAATATAAGTACAGAGTCATAGTGTAATTATACCTTCATGGTAGCTTAATTAAGCATTTTCAACATGTTCACTATTAATCACCTTTTGAACATATTTTGTCTTCCTTCTTAAATACTGTTTCACTCCACTATAGAATGTATTAAGATTGTTTTGTCTAAAATCAAGTGTAGACAAGTTTTAAAAAAGATTGCCTTCAGTTTTCTGCGTTTTCACTATTCTGTATGGAACTGTGGGTTTGTTTTTATTCGATTTGTTTGGTATTTATTTGACTTCTTGAATCTGTGCATTAGTGTCTTTCATTCTGTAAAATTCTCAGCCATTTTATATGCATATATTGCTTCCTCCCATTGTCTCTCTTTATTGTTTATTGATTTAACTAAACCTTTTCACTCTTTCTCTATATCTCTTACTCTGTTCTTTCATACTACATTCTGGATAATTTCCTTATTCTCAAGTTATTTCCATTGTTATTACACTTGGCCACTGAAGTCTTAAATTCATGTATTGCATTTTTTAGTTTCTGAAGTTCTGTTTGGTTTGTGACACTGTTTTATAGTTTTCCTATTTCTTGCTATTAATTTTGAGGCTTAATTTTATTTATTTAAACATGGAAAGCATAGTCGTTTTTATAATCTCTGTGTTTAATTCCACTGTCTGAATTCCCTTTGGGGGTCTGTTTCTGCTGCCCATGATTTCTGTTGTTTTACTTCCTACTTCACCTTTACCTTGAAGCTGTAGTTCTTTCGGGTACCAAATTAAGATGGAAAGAGAGGTAGTTGTCAGACTCCACTCCCTGGCTGGGCTCCTGGCTTGAACTTGTTTCTATTATCTCATAAAGGTACTAAAACTTTAGCTTTTAGGTTAGAGAAATCCTTAGGATGAAATTCATTTTGAACATAAGGCTTAATTTCTGGTTTTCACCTTCTAGATTGTGTCCAAATTCTTTACCATCTTACTAGCTTTTTAAAGAATTATTGTTTTTGGTCAGGTGTGGTGGCTCACTGGCTCACGCCTGTAATCCCAGCATGTTGGAAGGCTAAGGTGGGCAGATCACTTGAGGTCAGGAGTTTGATACCAGCCTGGCCAATATGGTGGAACCCTGTTTCTACTAAAAATACAAAAATCAGCCAGGCATAGTGGCAGGTGCCTATAATACCAGCTACCCAAGAGGCTAATACAGGAAAATCACTTGAACTCAGGATGTAAAGGTTGCAGTGAGCCAAGATCACGCCACTTCACTCCAGCCTGTGTGACAGAGCGAGACCCTGTCTCAAAAAAAAAAAGGGGGGGGTTATTATTTTTGACAAATTTCCAGCATATTTAGTGTATTTAGTACAGAGGTGGAGAATTCATCTCAATTACCTAGCCCACTATTTCAGGAAATGAAAATCTCCCAGTATTCTGATTTTTGGAATTTGAAATTTGTGTGATTTCCAGCACCCTTAAGTTAAAGACAGTTATTCTTCATATACCTAAAATTTCCACCACTTTTCACTGTGCGTCATCACAGCCACTATGAAAGTTATGCTTCCCAATGCTTATTCTAGTCTTCCTTTCCCAACTCCTTAGTGCTTAGCATCTACTCCTCTCATGGCCTGTAACCTAGTTCTGCTTTTCCTTAACTCATCATGTGCCAGCGTTACTTCTTTTACTGAATGAGTGTAAGTTTCTCACTTGCCTGTTTAGTACATAGCATTGTGTCTTGAATGTAATAGGTTCTCTGTAAATATTTGCTTAAAGAAACATTTTTTTTGTTTTGTTTTTTGAGATGGAGTCTCGCTCCCATTGCGCAGGCTGGAGGGCAGTGGTGCAATCTGGGCCCACTGCAGTCTCCACCTCCTGGGTTCAAGCAATTCTCCCTCTCCCTCCCAAGTAGCTGGGATTACAGTCATGCATCACCATGCCTGGCTAATTTTTGTATTTTGAGTAGAGATGGGGTTTTGCCATGTTGGCCAGGCTGTTCTCGAACTCCTGACCTCAGGTGATCCACCCGCTTTGGCCTCCTAAAGTGCTAGGATGAGAGGGTGAGCCACCTCGCCTGGCAAAAAAAAATAAAAAAATATTAGTTGGCCTTGTCTGGTTTTTATAATGCAAAGCCTTTTTTTTTTTTTTTTTTTAACAAAAAAAGGAAACAGGTGTCTTGTTATGTTTCCCAAGCTGGCCTTGAATTCCTAGGCTCCAGCAATTCTCTAGTCTCAGCCTCCTGAGTAGCTGGGACTGCGTTTTGTTGTTGTTGTTTTACTTTGTTTTTAATTTGGTCTTGGAGTGGTGTTACATAGGGTTGGGGGAGGGAGGATGGAGTATGACTTGAGATGTGGGTTAGGTTCTGAAGCCAGCCTAGATGACAAAATAGCATACAAGCAAAGCTACCCTTGAAATCTCTCAGCATGTTGATTGTAGGAATACCAGTGTTGCAGAATTCTGACACTGCCAGTGTGATATTGTAAAATACATATTTGGTCATGGTCTCTGTCTCCTGTGGCATACAACTCCTGTAATTCTTGGAATCTCCAAAATGATTGGTGTTATTTTATATGCTAATTAGCTGACTGGTGGCTGGCTGCCCTGAATAGCTTTAGGATGGAGGCTGGTCACTTGAAAGACCCAGGCAGGATTGGGGGGTTGGGATTTTCAGACCCTCCCTGACGTCCAATCTCTGGGGAAAGGAGAGGGCAGAGGAGCTGATGATTATGTTGACCACTAGTGGTCACTGGTTTAATTAATCATGTCTAAGTAATGAAGTTTCCATAAAAACCCACAAGACTGGGTTTGGGGAGCTTTAGGATAGGTGGACATGGGAGGTTCCTGGATGATGGTGCACCAGAGAGTGCATGGAAGCTCTGTGCCCTTCCCACATGCCTCACCCTATGCAGCTCTTCATTTGTGTCCTTTGTAATATCCTTTGATAATAAACCAGTATATGTAAGTAAAGTGTTCCTCTAAGTTTTGTGAACTGGTCTAGCAGATTAATAAAACCTAAGGAGGGGGTCATGGAAACCCCAGTTAGTAGCCAGTTGGTCAGAACCACAGGTAAAACAACCTGAGTCTTGTGATTGGCATCTAAAAGGAGGCCAGTCTTGTGGGACTCAGCCCTCAACTTGTGGGATCTGGCTCAGTCTCCATCCAGATAGGTAGTGTCAGAGTTGAAGTGAATTAGGACACCCAGCTGGTTGGTGTTCACTGCAGAATTGTTTGATTGCTTGGTATGTGGGGTCATATGCCCCACAGAATTATACTGTATTGATTGTTGAGTGAGCGAATAGGAAAAATTCTTTGGTTTGGGGTTTTTTTCTCTGTCCTCAGACAGGTTTTCTTTCAGCTTTGGAAAAAATGGCTGTTTTTCTTCCTGTGAGCCCCAGATGAAGTTGTCAGTTTGTATTCAGGAGTCACAATATGTAAAAAATACAGTGAATACAATCATGCATAGTGAGGGATATTTATATTCGGAGAGGCGCATGTGAATGAGGATCAGCAAAGGGAACCGATATTTAAATTAGTTATCTGTAGACGAATTCAAGATTGAGCGCACATATGAGACTCTGCTCTTGAGCTATGGAAAGATAAGTAAATCAATATATTATTTTTAACTTCTTTTTTTTTCCCCTGCAAGACAGGGTCTTGTGCTGTCACCCAGGCTGGAGTCCAGTGGCCCTCATAGCTCACTATAGCCTGGAACTCCTCAGCTCAAGTCATCCTCCCACTTTAGCCTCCCAAGTAGTGTACCATCACACCTGGCTAATTTTTAAATTTTTTTGTAGAGACAGAGTCTCATTGTGTTGCCTGGGCTGATCTTAAACTCTTGGCCTCAAGTGATGCTCCCACCTTGGCCTCCTGCAGCTTTGGGACAGCAGGCATGAGCCACTGTGCCCAGCCTGTTTGTCTGTTTTTAATAGAGATGAGGTCTCACCATGTTGTCCAGGCAGGTCTTGAACTCCTAGGCTTAAGCAATTCTGCCTCAGCTGCCCCAAATGCTCAGATTGCAGGTATGAGCTGCTGCACCAGGCCTTACTTTCTTTCTTTCTTTTTTTTTTTTAATTTGAGGCGGAGTCTCGCTCTGTTGCCCAGGCTAGAGTGCATGACGCAAAATCTCAGCTCACTGTAACCTCTGCCTCCTGGGTTCAAGCGATTCTCCTGCCTCTGCCTCCCAAGTAGCTGGGATTACAGGTGCGTGTCACCACACCCAGCTAATCTTTGTATTTTTAGTAGAGATGGGGTTTCACCATGTTGGCCAGGCTGGTCTCGAACTCCTGACCTCAAGTAATCCACCCGTCTTGGCCTCCCAAAGTGCGAAGATTACAGGTGTGAGCCACCGCACCTGGCTGAATTTCTTATTGTGTGTGTGTTTCATAGATGCCTGAAAGGTTATTACAGATTGCTCTTGCTCCTTATGATAAACACTTAAAATATGGATTAAATTGCTTTTTCTGTGGTCAGTTTTTAGGTTCTTTTAGTCTCCTTTGCTACTGGAGTATGTTAAATAAACTTCAGTGTTAGAATATTGACTTGACTTTGCTTAGCAATAAATACTAACAGCGGGCTCTCTGTTAGTAGTTGTCATTCTCTAAAGAAAATTTATGATATAGGAAAAGTCAGCTAAATTTTTAAAAAATCTAAATTACTGTATCTTGGTAGAAGTGCCTTCTGGCCAGAAAGCAGTCTTTATTTGGAATATAGTTGAGTTAGCCAGATGGCAAATTCCTCTTAGTTGCTGTCCTGCATTTTGAATGTGACTTGAACATCAGAGTAAAAAACTTTGGAAGCAATAATCTATATTTATTGATAAAAGTAAATGGATTGACCTATTGCTTTTGCTACTCAAAGTGAAGCCTTAACACAGGAATCTGATTCTGGTGTGTTTTTACATGTACAATCTCTGTAATTTTGGAATTAGAAGTATATGGTGGCCAGAATGTAATACTTAAGTAGTAAACATTTAAGTAGTTTGCCATCACAGAATTCAATTCCATAGGAAACCATAGGATCTCATTAGCTTGTGTCATGGCACTAGCTAAATGGAGTCATTGTTCAAGTAAGGAATAGCAATTATTTGGGGAGCAGCAATGTAAGTTTTGTATTTTAAAACGTGTGTAGTGTGCTGTTTAAGACACAGCCCATTTTGTCCCCAACCCTGGGAATTAAATACCACAGTCTCCAGTATAAACCCAGTAGTTCAGTGTTTAACAGTTACTTTGGCTTGAAATATCAGAACTTTGTTTTCCTGACTGTCAGGCAGGTTTGAAACCATGTTCTTTATTTGTGCCAATTTGAACTCTAAATTTTGGTGGACAAAGTGAATTTTGAAATGGTTATTAGTTTTCCATGAATTCCCTATTTGAATAACTTAAATCCTTTAAAAAATAATGTAATGTTTAGTTTGATAATTAAACTTGAGTCACTTCGAAAAACATGTTGAGTAAAGGAAAGCTGACAGCATTTGTTTACTCTTTGAAAAATGGAACACAGTGACGGCAAAATAAGCATTCCTGATGTAAGTCCTCTGCATTCCTACAGGGATCACAGTTAGAGCCCTTATCCCTCATATCCCTGGACTGTTTGTCCTTTGTTTTGTTTTTAATTACTCTAGCAATCAAAAGAGAAAAAAAAGAGACTTGTGAAGATTAACCTAGACAGTGGGAATTAGAATTTAATACAATCTAATTTTCTAGCTTCTCTGTCTATTTCCAGTAGGTCAGTAAATTACAGGTACTGATCACTTCTTTATTGTGGAATAAACAGCCATTGGACTTTTCAAATAAAAACGCTGTCTGCATCAAGTACTGATTTTTCAGGTTAAATGACCATTTTTAATCTGGAAAGTAGCAGTTATTTTTGAAAGGTGATATCAATTATACAGTAAAGTCATTTAATTTTTGGTCCTTTGTTTCTTATTGCACAAATTCTATGGTGTTTGAATAGAATTCACATGATACTGTCACTTCAGCAAACACTTGCTTAATGGCTACCAATCTTTATAACTTACATTGGATAGTACCTAGGAATATTCGTGTGAATTCATTCCTCCCTGCTCAGATTCTTTAGCTCTTCATGGTTGGTTTATTCAGTAAGTATTTGGTCTATACCTAATATATGCCAGACACTGTGTTAATAATAATAAGTACTGTAGAGACAGAGCTGTTGGAACAGTCATAGATGGTAAAACACAATGAATAAGGGCTGTAGAAGAGTTATGAATGATCATAGCAAGAATACAAAGGAAGGAAATACATATTAACTACTCTAGGAGGTCTTGGAAAGCTTCATAAGGGAGATGGTCTTCAGTCTGATTCTGGCAGGTGGAGCAGCAGTTTGCATGGGGTGAAAAGAAAGCAAGGGCATTCCTGGCAGAGGGAACAGCCTGAACAAAGCCATGCGGAGAATGAGAAAGTGCCTACAGAGAACAAGGACCTACAGAAAAATGCTAATTTGAAAAAAGATGCATAAAGCAGTCTTATGTTTTAGTCTAATCCTTTTACAGAAATTTATTACTATGTGTGGCCATCTAACTTGGCTTATTTTCTTTTTGGGAGGGATCAAGGGAATGCCAGAATTATATTAGTTTTATTATTAATTTATTGAGACAGGGTCTCACTCTGTTGCTCAGGCTGGAACGCAGTGGTGTGATCATTGCTCACTGCAGCCTCAACCTCCTGGGCTCTAAATG